CCTGATGAGTCGGTGAAACTCCGACGAAACAGTTTGTCACAGCCCCTCGTTTGTTGTCCTCTTCTCTCTCTCTGCCTACGGTTTACCGGGCAGTTCTGTTTGTGACGATATATATATATATATGTGACGATATATATATATATATACAGCACTGCCCGCTGAACCGTAGGCAGACAGGGAGAAGAGGAGAACAATCGAGGTACGTATACGCATATATATATATATATATATATGGATATTTATACATATGTAAATGTATATTCATATATATATATGTATAAATGTATAATAGTCTAGCAAATCTGACATATGAAAATCGAAGGTAGACGTGCAAGAAAAAAAAAAAATCGAAAATAAGCTAGACTTGTTTGCTATGCTGACTCGACCGTCGGCTTGGCGCGCTGTAAGTATGGTCGATCGTGCCAGGGCTGGATGCGGTGGTTGATATGCGAAAGAGTACTAGCTAGTAGCTACTTTCCTCCCCCAGCACAACGCACCTTCATTTGGCTGCACCGGACCGGAACGATAGCTTGTATGCATTCGTTATGCCGGTGGGTTATGCTCGGGGGAAGACGGTAGCGACTGTCCTCCCCCGAGCACAACGCATCCTGTTGCTGGACGCACTTTACAGATCGTCATCTTCTTGGTTGTCTATTAACCTGGGCCCTGGGGCGAAGTGGTCTAGAAGGGGGTGCTAATGCCATGAATGAACGAGGATGGAGAAAGGGGGCTGTCCTCCCCCAGCGCTGTAAGTTAAACGCGTGTTCGCCAGTCCAAATGTACATCGATTTGTAAACTCATAGATTCAATTGGACTGTATTTGGCTGGTTTCATGGCCTGATACGGCCGTCTTTTGAGCCGGTTTGGTTAGTTAACTGATTCGCACTGTCGTCAGTAAATCTGAATCTGTGTGTAATTATGGTCAGATTCCACCGAACGAGCTTCAGACCTTGTTTCTAGTCCTTGCCCTGGATATATAATTGTTGGATCAGGTAATATAGCGTTTCGGTCCATCCGAAATTTTCCACCCTTTTTACATCAGTTGAATTATTGAATAGCTGTTTATTAATGTTTATGAGACAACTGCGCCTGTGTGACCGCTGCACAGTTTGGAATTTGCAGGAAGGAATAACAGTCCACTGCAAGCTTGGGCGAAGACCAGTTCGGAACTGCAAGAAAAACAGTAAGGTGGGAGCACGACGGCCTATGGGTTCAGTAATTGGCAAAAACGGGAGGTGGCGGTCGTGTTTTTTTTCTTTTTTCTTCGAAGCTGTGGGTTGGTTGGTGTTCCCCCGTACTACACATACACTAGTGAGAGGATGAGATAGAGGAGTACTAGCAAGAAAAATGAGATAGATGAGAGAAGAATATAGCTTAAAAAAAGAAAAGAAAAAAAAACTGTGCAGCAGTCACAGGCGCAGTTATTTAGAAAAAACAAAAGCGAAATCCACGATTTTTTTTTTTTTTATTATTATTATTTTTTTTTTTAAAGGGCGACGACCTTGAGATATTATCATTGAGCTGACCAGCCCCAAGCAATTCATTAGTAGTTGATTGCAATTGTCAAGTTTCCATCATCTGGATTCGAACACAGGTCTGTATTTTCAAAAGTTCATGGGTGTACCCACTGAGCTAGGCTCTTGGGTAAAGCCACGATTTTGCTTGCCGGTGCCAGAATAGACGGGGCACGTGTATTACATGGAAAACAAAAAAAGAAAAGCAAAAAGCCAATGACTCCAGTATGTTTTAGTCGAATTTCTCCAACGCCTGCTGAGTTCCGGGGCTCAGTCCACCAGGACAGAATTGCTGGCCACACCTGACAGAAAAATAAAAAAAGAAGAAGACATGTCTGCACCTGTTTGTCGCTCAGCACAAATCTGCATAAGAAGGCCCAGAACTGCTGGTACCAGCACCTTTCACAGGCAAATTTCTCCAACACAGCATTCTCAGCCTACGGAACACCATGGTTGGCCGCACCAGGAAAAAAAAAAAGCTCCTCTGCCAGGCCCTTTTTTTTGGCACGCAGTACAAAGAGAGGCCCGGGGCGAGGTCCTACTTGCACAAATTAAGAGATATTGACCATAGATATCGAAGATCAACGGCCAAAATCTCTTAATCAATGCAAGTGGGACCTTGCCCCCAGAAGTACTGGTGCTCAGTGCTAACTCTATCAAACATGGATGCAAAATTACACTACAAACCCCTAGAAAAAAGATGGTTGTGAAAAGTAGCAAGTTTCAGGGTTCAGAGTTTTCATTTTATTTTTTTGGTTCAGACAGTATAGTCACATACCACTCCAGGAAGCCTTTTCTTTTCAACGAGGGCTGCTGAATGGCCATGGGGTTGGAGGGCAATTCTTTTGGGTCACTGCAATCCTCTCCTGGTCAGGCTGGTCTCATTATCTAATTTCCAAGTTGAACATAATTTCTTTCATTTAGGGAGGAAAGTGGTTTTGTGGACTTTGTGGTACCAAAGGTGTGTTAAAACAATGGAAGACGTAAAGATTGAACGCAAGGAAATGGCAGATTTTATTCAGCAATGTGTACAAACAGAACTCAGGGCTCACTGGGAAAAAGCAAAAACAGGCTGGGGGATGCATCAGGGGGAAAACTGGGGGAGGTGGTATGGCCAGGAGGGGAAGGGGATCAGGTGTCCTTCAAGCGGGATTACCAGAGTCTGATCATCCTTCAAGATGGGAAAAGCTATAGATGCCCCCTGCGGCGAAACCTTTGTAGCGTTTTGTCCCCAAAATGGACTTGCTGCGTCGGAGGTCCCCCAGAAACTTTTCTAGCATTCTTGCAGGGCCTCAGACCGGGCCTGAGACCGCGGCAGCTTGATAACTAAGGCTCTTTTTGCTGTGGCGGCCGGGACAAGTACCTCCAGGAGCCCAGTTTCAGCCCAGTTTCATCGCCGTATGCTGGTCCAGGGACCTTTACCGGTGGAATTCGAAGTTTCCGTTCCGGTAGTCGCTTCGACTTCGAATTTCCACCTGCTAGCCGAGTGTGTATGGCTGTGCCAATCTCGGCTGGGGGAGGAGGCATGGATATGGTACTGCATGCGGAATTGGGAGTTTTCGGTCTCGTGGTCACTTCAAATTTCCAGCTGCCAGCAGAGCGTGTATTGGTACGGCATGCTTGGCCAGCGAAGCAGCATGGATATGGCACTGGGCAGCTCGTTGAGGGAGTCATTTTGGCAGGTCACATGGAGAGGATGGTGACGTGGAGAGCAGCGTGACGTGAGAGCTTGGTAGGCAGCTGTTTGAGGAAGAGTCAGCTACTCTCACATCCTTGGCACGTGGGCGTGACGAGCACACAAGGCTGATGTGGCAGATGAGAAGCGGGCTGACATGGCACAGGAAAGGCTGACGTAGGACAAGAGAAACGAGTTGATGTTGCATAGGTGAAGGCGCAGTGACGGGCAATCTGAAGGTGAAACGTGTCTACTCCAAGGTCTAAGTGTAACCTGAAGGTGAAACGTGTGGACTTCACGAAGAAGAGAGGAGCGAGCGCTGTGGATGGGCCGCGTGGAAACAGAGTTTTGAGTCCTCGGCGTTCGTTATGAGGGTCATTTGTATTGCCGTCCGGATCCGTCTGGTTCGAACTTGATTGCTGTCGCCATCCTGTGCCTTCATGTTCCCCTGCCCCTTCAACCATCCTCTGTTCTCCACCTTTGTCATCATTCCCATCGTCTGAAAGCGCAAGTTGTTTCTGCCCTTCCTCCTCGCGTCGCCTCCTCCTTCCTCCTCTTCCTCCATCGCTTCTCTAATGTCGCCCACGTCGTCCAATTTCCCTTTGGCCATGTGGCGCGAGTTATCTTTTTTCCCCTGGGGGTCCGTCTTTCCAACTCCCCCCCCTCCTCCATCCTCCTTGTGATACCTCCTGATTCCTTCTTGGTCTCCCAGTCTCCCACTTGTCATCTTTCCCGCTCCCTACAAGGCGCAAGTTTCTTTTTCTTTCGCCGTTCAACCCCTCCTCCTCCTTCTGCATTCCTTTCTTCCTTTGTCCGCTCCTTGATTCTCTCCCCTCCATCCTCAGATTCCTCACATCTCCAACTCGCGCCGCGTGGCACAATCTTTTTTTTTGTCTTTTGTTCTTCTCTTCTAGGCTCCATCCTTCCTGCATCCTCTCCTGTTTCCGTCTGGCTGGTTCCTCCATCGCCATCTTCCAGTTTCCACCTCCACATTGCTCTTTCCTCCTCCTCCTCCTCCCCCTCCTCCCCCTCCTCCCCCTCCTCGTGGATCCTCCTTCGTCCACGTCCTACCTGCAGGTCTATCCTCCCTCCCATCTTCTGTGTGTCCGAAATTGGATTCCACGCGGGTTTCACATTGAAAAATTTAACGCGCGTTGAATTCGCGTTCAATCCCCGTTCAAACGCGCGTTGGACGCGGATGAACGGGGTCCGCGAACCGCGTTTCCCCGCGTTTGGAGGGGGCGGTAGGGGTTTTGTGAAGGTGTGGGGTCGTAGTGTCCGTTGTCGGGTACCGCCCCATGCACTTTTTTTTTTTTTTTTTTTTTTACAAAAAAAAAAAAAAAAAAAACAGGGGGGCGGGGGGGGGGGGGGGGGGGGGGGGGGGGGGGGGGGGGGGGGGGGGGGGGGGGCGGCGCTCTCGTCCGGACCGCCGCGACCGCGAAAACGGCGCTCAATGCGGGCGTCCCCCTTCAATCAATCAATCAATCAATTAATCAATCAATCAATCAATCGATCGGTTAAGATCGATCTACATCGATCTACATCGATCAACATGGATTCCAATCGGTCGATTCCTCGATTGTATGAGTGAGTGAGTGTGAGAGAAAGAGAGAAAGGGGGGGGCAGCACACACACAAACAATCAATCTCACACACACACACACATACACACACAAACACAATCAATCAATCAATCAATCAATAAATCCATCAATCAATCCATCAATCGATCGATTAACATTGATCTTCATCGATGTAGATCGATCAAGATCGATCTTAATCGATCGATTGATCGATTGATTGATCGATTGA